GGCCCATAGCTCACCGAAGACGACGATCCGAGGTCGGGCGGTGAGCGGAGGGCCGACGCCGTTGCTGGCCTGGCAGGCGTAGAGGCCCTGGTGGTCAGCCGTTGCCGACGCGATCGCCAGGCTGCCGTTCGGGAGCACGCTCACACCCTCCAGAGTCTCGGCGGCTGCCGGCGCGCCGCTCCCCACTGCGGGCAGGCGGGGTCAGCGTCTGGGCGGCCAGGGCGCCGCACACAGCCGGGCTCTGTCAGAAGTGGCCGGGGCACAACAGAGCGGAGTCAGGGACATGCGGAGCCGGGGCCAGCCAAAGTCAGGCTTCATCGGCCACGAGTAAGCCCCAACAGAAGCCACGGTCAATGCCAACAGAGGTTAGTGTCAGCTGAAGTCAGGGCACCGGTCAAGGGTGAAAGAGTCTCTACCAGCAGTCACGGTGCTCGAGTTCCCTGTCGCGGGCCATCGCCACGGCCGGTGACGCCGACGCATCGACCCACTGTGGCAAGAGACTGCTGAGGAGCTTGCGTGTACCCGCTTTGGCCAGAGGCTGGTCAGGCACTGCGTGTGCCCGCTTGTGACGAGAGACTGCGCTTTGGCAAGAGGCTGGTCAGGGACTGCGCGTGCCCGCTGTGGCGAGCTACAGGTCAGGGACTGAGTGTACCCGCCGTGGCGAGAGACAGGTCAGGGACTGCGGTGTGCCCGCTGTGACGAGAGACCGCGCTTTGGCAAGAGGCTGGTCAGGCACTGCGTGTGCCCGCTGTGGCTAGAGGCTGGTCAGGGACTGCGTATGCCCGCTGTGGCTAGGGCGAGGCTGGTCGGGGACTGGGTGTGCCCGCTGTGACGAGAGACTGCGCTTTGGCAAGAGACTGGTCAAGCACTGCGTGTGCCTGCTGTGGCTAGAGGCTGGTCAGGGACTGCGTGTGCCCGCTGTGGCTAGAGGCTGGTCAGGGACTGCGTGTGCCCGCTGTGGCCAGAGGTTAGTCAGGCACTGCGTGTGCCCGCTGTAGCTAGAGGCTGCTCAGGGACTGCGTGTGCCCGCTGTGGCTAGAGGCTGGCCAGGGACTGCGTGCGCCCGCTGTGACTAGAGGCTGGTCAGGGACTGCGTGTGCCCGCTGTGACGAGAGACTGCGCTTTGGCAAGAGACTGGCCAAGCACTGCGTGTGCCCGCTGTGGCTAGAGGCTGGTCAGGGACTGCGTGTGCCCGCTGTGGCTAGAGGCTGGTCAGGGACTGCGTGTGCCCGCTGTGGCCAGAGGCTGGTCAGGGACTGGGTGTGCCCGCTGTGGCTAGAGGCTGGTCAGGGACTGCGTGTGCCCGCTGGGACTAGAGGCTGGTCAAGGACTGGGTGTGCCCGCTGTGGCCAGAGACTGGTCAGGCACTGCGTGTGCCCGCTGTGGCTAGAGGCTGGTCAGGGACTGGGTGTGCCCGCTGTGGTGACGACACCCTTTCCGTCGGGCCAGCCTGAACTGTACTGACCTCAGCTGACTGAAGCGCACCACTAATGGCCAATCACGACTCGATAGCATCGGCTATCCGCCGATGGAAGTCGCCATTACGGCGCACTCACTGAAATCTGAGCCGCGATCCGACGGAAAATGTCTAATTATGATATGAGTCTTCTGAGGCCGTGGCATTGGTTCAGTTGCTACAGCTCCGGATACGACCATAAGGGCACAATCGTACCCATTAAGGACAGGCTGAACAGTCATTAGCTGCGGCTGCAACACCATCGATGTACAAGATAAGCACTGCTGCAAATGCTTTCCGCTGTAGAATCCGTATCTGCCGGCGGCGGCAGTGGCGCGTTCACCTCACCGCGTGCTTTCTCAGATATATCTGTGGACGGTGTGCACGCCAGGACTCTTTCTGTGCACACGTTTACCACAGGACACTGCCTGTAGACAGTGTCCACCTCAGAACACTGTCTGTAGACAGCGTCCACCTCAGAACACTGTCTGTGGACAGCGTCCACCTCAGGACACTGTTAAGCAGACTGCCCACATCAAGTGCGTGCCAACTATTCAGAAAACGTGTTTAAAAGACGCATGGTTATTTTCAGAACAGTCAGGAAAGTGGAGAATGTTTTCAGCGTGCTGTTCAGATGAGACTAAATCATCTCATTTGAGAAACTCGTCAGTGTGATGTCACACATCTGTTCAGCATCCTCTTATGAAAGGATAACTTTAGAGCAAAAACGCAAAGCACAAAATCTATCGGTTTGATATCGCCCACGAGTGCTTAGTTTTCTTAACAAGAGGCAGAAGTCCATTGCAAACGTCTGATTTAGTCATGTAAGCTGGACAAAATGCATCAAATTAGTGGGAGTCTCAAAACATCGCGCATTTTTCCATATGATGTTTACGTTTACGCGGTGGACATTCGTGTAATCATTTACTGTCAACGGGTGCAAACATTTCGCAACGGGCGAATATTTTGATATTGATGCGAAACGTCACAAAATTGCCCGCATTGTGTTGTCAACTCCATCCTTACTTACCGCACTCCCATGTGCGTGGTCTCGTTTGTTCGCGTGCGGCGCGGCTCGGCACCATTCAAACACTCTGCCACCCAAGTACAGCGTCGGCGGCGCGCAGTACCTGTTTTCTTCCAGGAGATGAGAGGCTGCGGAAACCCTTCGGCAGAGCAGCGCAGCAAGATGGCCGACCCCCGCCGAGTAGCCACATCCTGGGGCTCCGACAGCCAGCGGGGCGGAACTGCACAAGCACAAACACGCGGACACATCAGGACGGGCGGAACTGCACGCGCACAAATACACGGACACATCAGGACGGGCGGAGCTGGCAGCACCCGACACAGACACATCGGGAAGGGCGGAGCTGGCAGCACAAACGCACGGACGCATTAGGACGGGCGGAACTGGCAGCACAAACACACGGACACATCAGGACGGGTGGAGCTGGCACCAAACACGGACACATCAGGACGGACGGAGCTGGCAACACAAACACACGGAACACATCACGACGGGCGGAGCTGGCAGTACAAACGCAGACACATAAGACGGACGGAGCTGGTAGCACCAAACACAGACACAGCAGGACGGACGGAACTGGCAGCACAAACACACGGAACACATCACGACGGGCGGGGCTGGCAGCACAAAACACTAACAGATCAGGACGGGCGGAGCTGACAGCACAAACACACGGAACACATCAGGACGGGCGGGGCTGGCGGCACCAAACACGGGCACATAAGGACGGACGGAGCCGGCAGCACCAGACACGGGCACATCAGGACGGACGGAGCTGGCAGCACCAAACACGGACACATCAGGACGGGCGGAGCTGGCAGCACCAGACACGGGCACATGAGGACGGGCGGAGCTGGCAGCACCAAACACGGACACATCAGGACGGGCGGAGCTGGCAGCACAAACACACGGACATTTCAGGGCGGACTGAGTCGGCAGCACCAAACACGGACTTTCCAGGACGGACGGAACAACACGCACAGAACCTGGGGCATACCAGGACGTCGGCGGAAGTGCCAAGCACGAAACGCAGCGCACGTGATTTTGCAGAGCGCAGAGTACATCATACAGATCCCTGCGCGCAGTCGCTCCTGCGTGTGGTGCAACAAATCCATCGCCCACGAGGACGGCGCATCGGGTTCCATGCTAGTACTTATGACTCGTTCGTACAAATATCAAACAAACGCATTAAGTAGTTTCCGGCTAAAGAAATTAAAGCCGCAAACGACCACCGCATTTTCCACACAACTCAGCAAGATAAATGGAATTCTGGACAACATTTTATGAGCCGATGCAATAATTTCGCTACCACTTTCCATGGGGCGATCGCTTAACTTTAATAGAGGCCCGACGTAACCCCATGGGGCTTCGTGCAGGGCACGTCGGTGATTGATTGACCCGTAACAAATGGAGGCGACTTGACTATATGAGGAAGCGGACGCCTGTAATAATGTAAGGGGCTTCGTTGCGGTAAAAGGAAGCTATACAAGCATACCAGCAATTGGAGCATACCACGATAAATCAGGTTCCCGTATAATATTCGGTAAGTACCATACAAGTGGGCATCGTCGGTGTAACTTCCACACATAAAAGCAAACAACAATTCCGAGGCAACTGCCGGTTTCTTGCAGTCTTCCAGTTCTGAAAATGACCGCTTCTTGACCTGGGATAGCTAAGTGACCTGTTAGGTCACGGCAAACCCTACCACAGCTGAAACGTTCATCGGAGTATATGGTAAGAAGTTCCACTAACGGTAGCACCGATATTGGAAAAGTTATGGCGACGGAGAAACGACCGATTTAGTAATCATGGTCCAGGCTTTCCAACCTTCTTTTTGGGCCAATTTGCGATAATTGAGGTCAGGACAGATCGCTGTGTTCACATACGCTTCACATTCCTAAAGAATGCACATAGTTATGCTGCGATCATCGGATAAACATAATTTAAGTTGTCTGACACTATTTTAACTGGGAGTTATTTATGTTGCATGCATGTGACTTTTCACAGGTCAATGGGTATCTTACTTACCAGGTCAAGTAATTTTCTTAGCTGCCATATCATACCTATCCAAGGCACAATGACGATATGAACGACATTCGGCGCCATATGACTATTATTTTTCTCTCTAATGACACGTTTGAAAACATGTGAAAGACCCATGCCAAGTCAAAATGTTACAGAGTCTTATAATGGATTCCAAACACGTCCTATATTCCCAAAACCAAGAAGTGAGGTTCGAGTTGGCAAGAAACCCATTTGACATGACCATCACGTGCTCACCGATGGTGCGCAGCTCGGCCGTCAGTACTCACCGTTCACGCGCAGCTCGGCCGTGTGTACTCACCGATGACACGCAGCTCGGCCGTCAGTACTCACCGTTCACGCGCAGCTCGGCCGTGTAGCTGGAGGCGCGCGCGGCGTTCTCGGCGCGGCACGTAGTAGTTGCCCGCGTGGCGTACGGCCACGCGCTCGATGGAGAGGCTGCTGCTGAAGCGGTCGGTGGAGTGGCGCGTGACCTCAGGGTCGGCCAGCTGGCCGGCCGTCGCGCAGCCAGGTCAGTGTGAGCGGGCTGTCACCGCTCTTTATGAAGCACAGCACCTGCGCCCGCTCCCCGGCCGAGAAGTTACCGAGCAGGAAGGGCCGGATGGACGGCGGCACTGTCGGCAGGGTACGGCCGCTCAGGCTCTCTATCTCAGGCTGTCACTCATCCTCCCGCCGACGCGCAATCGGCCAAAGCGCTGCTCAAAACCGCGTCTTATCTGAAAAGTCATGTTTCGATTTTACGCATTCTGAACAATAGTGCACATGTAAAAGAAACAGCACGTGCAATGTTGCTAATAATCTTTGCCTCGGAGAATATCTTACCAGTGAAAAGTTTTCTAACGTCAACCAATGCAGCGCCACTAAAACCGGCTTTCAATCTGAAACACATATTAGCTACGCTGGTGCCGCTGTACGTCCAAATATAGCGACTGTTTTGTACGAACAGGTATATCACGGGATCTCATTGTATTTCACCAGACCGCGGAGCCGTGACTTATATGACAGGGGAGCATTCGAACGACAAAGGGAGCACCTGTGCACCAGTGGGTGGGTCAGATTGGTGCCCGGATACGGGTGGACGGCAGCGTACTCTTCCGAGCGGTGCCATGAGTGAACGTGGGCCGAGTTGATCAACATATGTATGCAATGATATTTGCCTATTCATGAGTACGTTCAAATTTCGCGAGACTGCAATGTCATAGGTCATATGGAAGAGCGAGTTTTGATGCCTATTAAACGAAGTGAAGGCATGATCAAGGCTCACAGCTTAATGACTTTTTTTAAACAGAAAGAGGAAATCGCAGATATTCGATAATGGAACGAGACAACAAGTAAGCAAATCAGTTACCCGAGGTCTGCAGGGGGCGGGAGCTGAGCTTCTTTCAGTGATATCCTAAAACGTGCATGCCGGTGTACCCGGTTGACCAGCCACCTTCAGTACACATTGCATCATTTGGTGCCGTGGACAGCGGGCAAATAAATATAGTTTGGGACAAACTCCAGCACACCCTTGCACTCAGAGCTACTTTATGTCTGTTTATAGCCTTGGTTGTTTTGCCTGCCCTCTTTGCGGTGCCTTTAGGATAGGTTCAAATGGCCAAGAAAGATATGTCGTAGGCATTTACTATGCATAGCCCGGCGTTTTTGAAAACAAGGCGAGACGTCTCATGTCGTGCCATTGGCCCATGCTACCTTGGGTAAATTACCATTGCCGCACTATGTGGCTGACAACCTAAGGCCATACTTGAAATGGGCGCCAGATTCATGTTTTTCCCATATGCACTATTATTAAGTTATTTGCTGACGGTTCTAATGCAGCGCAATATGTATTATTTGGTGTCGCAGGCGTTTGTTGTGGTTGGACATCTCAGGCAAAAGCTAGATGTTTCATACAATGGATATTTATATGGATAATTTGTATGTATGCTATGAAATTCCAAGAAGAATATTGAACCTCACAAGCCAAGCCAGACTAAACTGAGCATGGATTATATAATGTGGCCGTTTTATGCTTCATGTTCGATTGAATGTCAGCATCCACTATTCATTGTGGCATCACTTCACAGGGAAAAAACACACAAGTGCACAAGACTTGGGCTGTCTGCCGGGCGGTTCGCAGACATTTTACGCGTACGATTCACTAAAAGTAAGTCTTCAGGAAAGAGCCAAAAAGTCTGGGCATACACTGGCAGCCGCCGCTACGCCTGACAACAGAGATCAGAAGGCCATAAATTTATCGCAGATATTTCGTGAAAATTCCTCAACTTTGTTGATCATACACCAGCAGCGCTTTTGAAGAAGATTGCCGTCTTTTCATTATTGTCTGCAGAGCTGTGCTCGCATGTAGTCACGAAATAGATGCCTGTGTTCTCGAAAATGTTTTTTTCATACTTTACTTCTGCTTATTGGCTTTTTTTCTTTTTGTTTAGTTCTAACGGTTCGCAGAGAACCGACTAAAACTGCCGTTTCGCCCAGTTCCAAGGATAACCTTTATTGCACCTGTCAGAGAAAATCTTTCGTGGCATCCAATGCTTTGGCACGGTCTCGCGGTATAGCCGTGGAGACCCCTTCACCTCCCGCCAACAAGCATCTTCGACAAGGAGTCGGGCGTGTGATCCGCCGGGGAACGGCTGTGGAAACCAGCATAAATATACATAATGTGGTGATATCCACCTCAATGATGGAGCACCAAATCTCAAACTTCAAATGGTTAAGAACCTACACGGTCGACGCAGGAGTTCGTGTAATCACTTCCTCACTAGCTCTGATAATCCCGGGACTTTAACGCAGTTCTGGGATCCTTTGGTTTTGATGCATTCAATCCCGGGATATTTTGCTATCCCCGGAGAGAGCCGTTCTTTTATAAACACGTGGACAATGCAGGGGTTTCCTTAGATGTGGTATGTGGCGCATGCTTTTCCTGTGTTCCCGATTTCCGTTGGCGATATGCCATATTTGGCCGTATTTCAGCCTCATCAAGCGGAAAGTTCGGAGCAAAAAATCTTTAAAATTTTCTCTGTCCTCTGCCCTAAAAATTTAAGCCGCACGAATTACATCCATGATATATTCATTTGTTATATTTCGAGTCAGGGTGCACCAGTACACTTCCATATTATAACCCGGCCAGCAGGATATCACTATCCTGATTACATAAGTCACTTGTTACGGTAACAGCACCTCAAGACGTAAAGCGCATCAATAGACAGTCACCGAGACTCGACCGCAACTTTTGTGACGATTTTCCCGAGAGTTGCGAACTCTCCTTCCGACTCAACACTCATGGGAACTATGCCCTTGAGCCAGCTGTAGGTCAGTGCTAACATGCCCGCGCTTCCTAAAACAGGCGAGTTATCCAATGCTTCCCCTGTGGCCTCGGCCGCAGAAGAAGATTTAGAGAAGTTGATCCCGCACGTATATGACCTATGGCCTGACTCTGAACCCTCACGAGCGGCCCCGAAGCTGTCTGGTGCCTCCCTGGATCGGGATGGCACAGCAGCATCCAAACTACCACGCTTACTCTTTAGGTGAATGTCAAGATCTCTGCGAAACGCCGGATGTTTTCAGTTCCTTTTTACATGTGCGACACTTTGCTGTGTTGCTATTCTAACTTCTTAGAAAGTGTTTCCACACTGTGCTCCCTTTCAATTCCACAAGATGGGGCACGTTTAGCATCGCTGGCTTCTCAACAAATACAGACAATCCACTTAAGATGCCCCAGGGCGCCCGGCCTGCCTCATGGAGCACTTAGCCACCAGCACAGGCAGTAACCGAGCCACAGGACGATCACGCTCACAGGCACGACGCCCGACCTGCTCTGACTCGATAGTCTACATGGAGTGTCCTCGGGTACTAAGGGGCCCCGTGCAGTGTGCGTGAGGGGACGGCGCCCGACCTGCTCTGACTCGATAGTCTACATGGAGTGTCCTCGGGTACTAAGGGGCCCTGTGCAGTGTGCGTGAGGGGACGACGCGCGAGAGAAAAGCCCGTCCTTGGAGCCTGACACGGTGTGAAACGATGCCCCGAGCATAAGTCGCAATCGCAGGATGCCGCTGGCTTTTACGAGAATTGGCATGGTGCAATAAGACATTGGACAAAAAAAAACAATTTTTCCTCTAACATATCAAAGGAAATGTTCAATATTTGAAGCATTGAAAAAAAACATCAGATATTATGAAATAAGCCCACTCATAACTACTGGTATACCTTTAAGTGGAAAAGACTGCTCTGATCAACACATTCCCCTGATAAGTAATTATGTTCCTTAATACGCATTGTCTCATTACGTTCTTGTTGCCATCGTGCCTTGCAGAGCACCGATTGAGAGCCAACTGACGGCCGGTATATCTGGAAATCGCATTCAAGAACAAGGGATGCGAGCGAGTCGGACAATTACCCTTTTATTGGTCTTGATCACCGCATGACTAACGGAATGGTAAGATTTAAATAGCGTTATTATGGCGTCGTTGATGCCTGGGTGACCACGAAAAGTCTCCCAAAATAGTCCACAATCTTCTCGGGGGCAAAGCTCAGAAACTGGAGAGGCTTAGGTCTTAAGAAGGGCAGGACTGTGAACTGCACTGAATGATGTTCAAAACGGCAATTTCACTTAAAAACCTTGTACAAATGTGGAACGCTTCTTTAATAGCTTCTTTGATGTTTCCTACATACTATTAGCAACGCTTTTTAAACCATGCTTTTGTATGGGGAAAATATTCTGGGGATTCCGAAATCTCGACACCATCTGATTTCATGATTCGGGATCAATACGCACTCAAGTTGCGATAATGTTGACCCTGTAATGTCTATTTCAGCTAGCTTTTTCATGGCAATGTATTCTATATAACACGGAGAGCCTGATTGGCTTGGTCCTTTTTGTGCAACATTGACCAAAGATGGCGTCCTCCTCATCTTGAATGCTATCCAATTTTCTTATTTTGATCTGGATGACACAGGCGGTAGTGTACTGTGGTGGTGTGACCATGATTGGTGAGTTCATTTCTAAGCCTATTTTTGGGTCACGAGATCTAATTCGACACCAAATCAGCGATCAAATGTAAAACTCAGAAAAACATCCGACGTACAGCGTTGTGACATCTCAAGATACTTTGAAAGGAATGTTTAACATTTGAAGGTGTTGAAGCAGGCATCAGATATGATGAAATAAGCTCACTCATCACTTTTGGTACACTTTAAAGTGGAAAAGGCTGCTCTAGACAACACAACTTATATGTTTAGCTAATATGCCTTTCATTGCACTATTGTCTGATTACGTCATCAGAGCTTGCACAACATTGGGAACCAACTGACGATCGTCATATCCGGAACTCGCACCCAAGAACGCGAGACATGAGCGATTTAACAATCATGTTTTCTGGCCTTCATCGCCGCATCGCCAAAGGGATGGCAGGGTTTAAGTGAGGTTATGGATGCCTGGCGTGCGTCATGCGTCATAGGGTGATCTGAAACAGTCTCCCCAAAAAAGGATGCACAACCTTCGCGGGCGTGTGGCTCAGAAACTGGGTTTAGGTCTTAAAAAGATCAGGGCTGTAAACCGCACCGAATGATCTTCAAGATGTCTAGTTCATTTTAAAACCGCGAACAAAGGTGAAATCCT